AACAAAGTCCTGCCAGAGCCTGGCACAGCTGCACGTGGAAGGCTGCAGCTTTCCTCCCCCAGGAGAAGCAGGAAAATGAGGGGAAGGAGCTGGTCCCAGTCCTGCTGCCTGGGTCTGGACCCCCCAGCCCCAGTCTGCCTGAGAGAGCATCATGGACCTTGCAACAGGCTTGGGACTGAGACACCTCACGCTTAGAGGGGGAGATGCTGGTCACACTCTGAAAGCCAGGTGCCTTGAAGCAGACAGAAAGAGTCCTGGTAGAGTTTCTGAATCAGCTAATATAACTCACCAGATTCCAGAGAAAGCTAAATAACAGGTTTTGTGTCATAGAGACTGCAGGGAGCTTGGTTGTTATCTATGGAAATTCACGGGAGACATTGCGTTCCTGTTCAGTAGTTCATTTCCAGAAGGTGATTTAGCCACTTGTTTTACTCAATTTAAAACCATCAGCCTGTTATTCATAAGAGAGAATAGATTACAGAGCCTGAGAAGCTGTATTTCTTTCATTCACAATGGCTTCAAGCAGGTCCTCCAATACTTAACTGGGCTGGGCAGTTTCCCTCAGCTCTCCTTTGTCCATCTCCATGGGGAGGTATATCATAGTGAGAAATCAAATCAAAATTTACTGCAGGATTAAAGGCACTGGAGATCAGAGCAAGTTGCAAGGAACCACTGTGCTCAGATTAATGCTCAGACCAATGCTGCTTTGAATTCCACTCCAGTTTCACAGATTATCAAGGAACAATATTCAAGTTAAAACAAAGCCGTTCCTTCTTAGCAGCAATCACACTTGGCTGGAACTTGCTCTGTCACTGTCTGCACTAATCAGTCACTTTAAAGTTTGCCTGGCACCCTCTGGGGCTGCTCCCCACATATTTCCTCTCCTTACCTTCTCATTTCAGCTTCTTCACAGCTTCTGAGAGTGGTGGGAGAGAGCTTAGAGGGACAGCTCACCAGATGCAGAGCAGGAGCTGCAGAAGCACAAGGCTAAACCCAAGCACAAAGGAAGATTTACTTTGTGAACTCGGTAGCTTGTGACTCTACACTGTCTCCCAAGGTAGATTTGTCTCTGCCTTTGCATCAGCAGAGGCAATAACCTTCAGCTCTGCTCCCTACCTTTTTTCTCCTCTTGTACAAAAACTGACTCAAGGTTAGTGGTAAGAGAGAGCATAGTCTTTAACCATCACAGTTCTCATGCAGCATTCTGATAACTCCTCTGTTAACAGAGCTGATAGAGAGGAGAATGACAGAGGGGAGGGCATTCCCTTCTTGCTCCTTTTCTTTGCTACTTAAAAAGTTTTGACTATTTTCCCATAACTACAGAGCTAACAAGAATGAGAAGTATGGCTTTTGAAACGTGAAAATTCAATATTAGAAATGTGATGAGAAGACACAAATGTAGCTGTTTGAAAAGGTTTGCTGAACAGAGAACACAGGGCTGTTGTACAGCTCCTGCACAGGAAAAATGAAGAGAGCAAAAGGAGCAGGCTGTGGGGGACAGAGCAGAGATAGGCTGAGATTCTTTTAACTAAAAATTCAATACAGCTTCATTCATTATATATATTTTATGAAACAGTGAAATTAAAAAGAAAAGGCTTCAATGAAACATGGGGCTTCCAGCTTGCTCAAGAATACTGCAAAAGCCCTTATTCAGTTTCCCTTGAAGCCAAGAGAAACATGTCTTTTCTGGTCCAATTTTCAGCTCTTTGAAGCAGAAACTCAGTCTTTTATGTGTCCCTACAGTGCCCAGTGCAATAGGTCTCCTGTCTCAGCAGGGACTTCTAAGTGCTATTGTAATAAAATTGATTAATCATAATTTCTAATAACTCCTTAATATTTCCAGTATAATCCTTGCCTAAAAAAATGTATGCAGGGTGAAAAGGCATGAAAGTTTAATTTAGAACATAGTAGAGATAAGTTTTTGCTATGAAAAATCTAACACAAAAGGTAGTAAAAATGTTTTTCATATTAAGCAGATGCAGAAATAATATTAACAGTGCAACAAAACAGAAACCTGGGCTTCGCATCTATTTGTAGCCTAAAAATTAAGTGCAAGATGAGTGGGATATGCACTCGCATGCAGGGATGCTATTTATGGCTCCAAGAAGAGGGAGATGTACTGTTACCCAGCTCCATCTGCATGGCAGTGAAGGGCCACTCAGAGATAGATGTGTAAATCTTCCTGATGTGGTTCCTCCCCACTCTTTTGCAAAGTAGCACTTAATATTGACTCCTGTACTGCTGTCATGTAACCCCCACAATAAGTGTGGAAATGGAAGGGCCAGCTCACATCTCTCACTGCCTCTGGCTCAGCTTGCAAATGTGGGTGGACACTGCTGCATCACTCTGCACTTCAATAAATGTTTTTAAGGCTTATTTTTCACAGCAGGAGCAGGAATGAAAAATAAGATTCAATTGTACATGTCGACAGGCTGGGAGAAGTGCCAGTGTGCCATAACCCCAAGTACCAGCCCAGCCCTTCCACTCTGTAAAGTACAATTATTGTAAATGGGTTCAGAGCCTGGCAAACATCAGAGGCACATGTATGCCTCTCTGCAAATATGCATATACAGGACTCATAAATGATCCTGGGGTTTCCTTTTTCTCCCTGGTGGAAAGAAGTTAAAAGCCTTAATGTGAATCCTTTTCCCTCAGCCAGGGTCGATTTCTACCTGAGGGAGTTTCTCTAGGCTTCCCTCCAAGCCAGTGAAGAACACAAGTATCGCAGGAGGGGCTCATCTCCCCCTGTGGAAAACAGGGGATGCTTGGGCCATTCCTATCTCTCTCCTAGGCAGCTAACTGAGACACACATCTTACACTAGGCTGGATTAAATGCTTGCTGTTTAGATGCCTCATGTCATTTGACTTGAAGTTTTGTATAACTTCACAGCAAAGAACCACAAAGGTATCTAAACATGCTAGTTTTGTAGAGGGAAAACTGTCAATTTTAAAGTCTATTTTCTGTGGTAATTTGGAGCAAGAAGAAAGTATTAGGTCCATTGAACTAAAAAATAAAAAGCCTTTTGTAATTTAGAGTTATAAAATACAATAAAAGTTAAAGTGTAGAAACAGATAAGCTTTTACCCAGAATTTAATCTTCTGTATCCATGACATTAAACAAAACAGCATAGAACTATAGAATACCAGGCTGGCTATTCACATGGCTTTCCATCTCTGGTACACCCCTCTCATGGTATTGAGCACACTCAGAGTTCAGCAATTCTGCTGAACAGAAATCCCATATGTGGGTGAACACGAGAAAAACATTTTCCTGCAAATTATTTCTGAAGAATATCAGCTGTGTGATAAAGCTGTGGGATTAATTAATTTAGTATGCATCTCTAATTGCCTTATTGCAATCCTTCTCTCCCAGGACTAAAGCTAATGCTCCATATCTTGAAGTATCTTCAAATTTCAGGGCTTTTTCCTGATCATGGCAAGCCATAAAATTATTCTCTTCCCTTCAACACATAAGGAATTTCGGTACCTACTAGATACAGGTACTGCATAGACCCCCTGCAAGTCTGCATAGATATTGCCACTCCCTATAGTAGGAACATTTTAAAATGTAGCTACTTTTTTCCCCTTAATGCTGAAGTACCATTGGGAAGTTAAATGTAAGACACAGCTCAGACATGGAGGGGTATATCATTCCTGTGCCACAGCTATATCAAGAGATTTTAAATAAAGAAATGCCAATGATTAGCTAATGATCTGACCTAATTTAGCCAAGCTAGTCTTTTAGAGAGCCCAGTACCTCGTATTTAGCTTACCAATATCTCCCTCAAACCATACAGTTCTTGATTTGACTATTTTACAATTTACATCCTAATAGTTGCCAATGGCAGTCAGATTTTAGTTTATTTCTACCATGTGTGTTTAGTTCTCCTGTGTGAACTTGTGTATTTTTTTTAGTGAATTAAATTCATCATGAGCTCAAAGACATAGGTGTTTGAACTTTTTCCTGGATTAACCAGAAGGATCATTCTGAAGAGTTTAGCTGGACAGAGAACTCTTAGTTCTCAGACAGTTACCTGGTCTGTTTGAATTTCACAAAAGAAACAAACCCTAACTCAAGAATTATTCATGGAAGCGACTCAACCTATGGCTAGAATAATTATTTTACATTCACTTCAAACGAATTATACATGATTGGCAACAAAAAGAAGATAAATTATAAATTTGATTTTAAAAAAATATTTCTGAAAGGATATATTTTTCATTGGCAGTAAAATGTGTATCGTAAATGTATATTTATTTAAAATATAGGCCTTGGATGATATCAGATCATCATGATAATATGAACAAACATAGCAAGTGATCACAAAGCTCTCCCTGCAACCAAACCCAACTCAGCCTGCTCTAAACCCCAACTCACATGGAAGCCCAGCATTCCCAGCCATGTAGGCCAGGAAAAAACAGTGACCACATGCATTATTTAAGGAGAGGAACAGCAAAATGACGAGCACATCCTGCAGCAGGTACCTGCAGCCTTTTGGGAGGCAGCAGCGTGTCCTGCAGCCCGGTGGCAGCGAGGCTCCGCGCCCCAGCCGCCGCTCCGCTTTGTCGCACCGAGCGCGCGGAAATCTGCTGGGGAACCCGCTGTGTGTCCTCCTGCTGGCCTGGTGCCTTAAATATTTCATCTCAATCCCTAACTAGAACAGATATGTGATGAGCAAGAGAAAGCAAACTCTTTAACAGCCTGTCTCTCTTTTTTGGACAAGCAAGCCCTGACTTGCAACACATGGGAAAAGACAGTCAGCAGCTCCCAAGATGACCCTTCTTTGAAGTGATATCTTTTTTACGTCATTTGCATTCTGGTTTACAGCTAAACCAGGACTTGCACTGTCGGCCTACGTGTGTCTGTTCCAGTCCATTCACTAACAATTTCTGGCAATTGGGAAATTTCAAATTCAAATTCAACAGAGGTATCTTTCAAATATATCTAGTCCCTAAAAATACTAGTTAGCAACTGTGTCAAACAGAAAAAAATTACTTACTTTCTGCAGGAAAGTGAGTGTAGATTTATCCAAGCCAAGAAGTCTCACAATATTCCCTGAGTAGCCAATAGGGATGTTAGCTAAAAAAGCAAAGGGAGACTACAAATTAGGATTAGAAGTGCAATAGGCATGAGCACACAGGAAACCAAATGCCACTAGATTATAGAATGTCTTCTATCAGCCAAAAAACCAAGGCTTGGGTAACCTTAGCCAATGCATCAGACTTAGATACCACATGTTTTACTCATTCAAGCCCTGAAAAGCCATTTTCAACTTGTTTGGTCAGTTTGCCAGTAGACGCTTGGCCAGCACTGAAAACCATTCCTCCACATCTTTCACAATTTGTTATAAATGCCTCTGATGTTTTTTTTTTTCTTCCTCTTTAAGGAATGGTTGTTTAAAATGTCGTATACAAGTTTCCTTATAAATTTTTAAAAAATAATTTTTAAGTGTTATATAATTTCTTTTTCCTGTGCTTCTGGAGTGCTCTCTGCAGAAGCCCCCACTGAAATTTCTGCAGCACTGTAAACACATCTTCTTATGATTTATGGCAGCCATATAGCAGCCTTCAGTCTTCAACAATGAAACCATGGAAACTTCACCAGATGGAGGCTGGCGGATGGAGGAAGAAAGAAGAGCACTGGTAAACAAATGGCTGGCCAGAATTTGGCTCTGACTGCGTCTTTGGGAGCACTGAAGAGCAGGAGTGCTCCCATGTTCCAGCTCCTACAACAGACTGCTGGGCTTGTCACCTACTGTCCAGACATCCTGGAATCATGACGTGGTCTTCAACACCTTTCTATAACCTCAGGGTTAGTTTTCCTGTTATTCCTTTAACCACTAACATATTTTACCTCCTGAGAAGAACATATCTAATTAAAATATGAAATTAAATTACTCAATCTCCCCTTCTTGCTTTAATTTTATCAATATCTTGACTTCACTTAGAGCTATTCCCCAGTCAGAGCTAGAGGGAAGCAAAACCCCCAAATTTGAATGCAAGCTTGTCTTACTTAGTCTTTTTCTACTTTAATTTTTATTTTTGTAATTCTCACATTTCCTCAGGTTATTTAAGATGACAGCAGCCTCTTGTCTTGTGTGATACAGGACTTGAACTATTTTCAGAAGCAGTAAACTCAGAGAGTAAGAAATAACTATAAAACTTGTCCAGTGGGTTGACTTGATCTAACACTTCAAGGCACCTATTATTCCACATTTACTGGACTTCCTCTGTCCCCTTCAACACTGTACACTTGCTATCTCTTTTCTTGATAAAGAAACCAACACAATAACACTAACAGCAGTTTCCCTTTCACCCCTGAGATGTGTACCCTTGTAGGTTGCATGCAGTGATCCTCTTGATTCATAAGTGTTCCAAATGCTATTGAGCCTGGCAGCTACAGTAATACTCCCCTGCCATATGCATTTTCTATACAGATCATGGCCCTTTCCCCACCTCTTGCTCAAAAGCGTGCTGAGAATGTGTGGAAGCGCCACAACATCTCTCTTGGTGGCTATTATGTTCTCTTTCCTGTAGCCCATGAAAGGCCACAACCACAGCTGATAAAGGACAGAGAGAAAATGAGTTACAGAATAAAGTGACAATGCAACAAATACAGCTTATGGGAGAGAAAGGATATTGTGGGAAGGTAAGAGCTTTGTGGGATGCCTGAGGTCAGGCTCCATGGTCAGAAAGGTGATTCCTGCCTTTCTGGCCCATGCCAGAGACTCTGCAGAGGAGAGGAGAGAGCAGAGGAACCTCATTGTGTCTGGTTTCAGCATATCAGCGCCCTGGTGTGAGAAACTGAGTTTCAGAGTTGCAGGAGGCTACCCATTCTAAATGCACACTTCTGTGAGTCCCATCAGAGGAAAAATCACTCAGAGACAGAATGCATATAAATCTCCTGAATTACTTAACAGAAAATAAATCAGAAAGCAAAAGGGTTCTATCTCAGTTCAGCATGCCCAAAACTAATTTGCTTGTATTAGTATTTTCATTCAAATAAGCCTCCTCTCAGGAAATAAATCACAGTGCTTGGAAAAATCATTGGTCCTGCAGCTGTGATCAGGAATGAATGAGACATGACAGTGTTCTTGTAGATATTCAGACAGCCTGAGTTTGCCTCAGTCATCTTTTCCTGCGGTGGCAACATCCTGTGTGATGCAGTTTTGTGCGATTTCTGACACTGTCATTTCAGATGTTGTACAATCCTGGAAGTGAGAGAAGGGACCAGGGTAAGAGGGGAGAAAATAGAACAGAAAATAGCATCTGACAACACATATCCAGGCCCTTGTGTCATTGCTAGGTTTGCATGACTTGCCAGGATAGCCACCAATCTGAACAAAATGTGCCTACAGCTGGCATGGCAAACGTGCCAAGCCTTGGAAACCTCTTGATGTCATAACATAAATAGCAGAGGGGTCAGTTGATTTAGATTTTCCTTCCCACTTTCTTAGCAAAACACCCAGGTCTGAGATGAATGCATTTCTACTAATCAATGATAACAAACTGGACAAGGAAAAGACAGGTCTAGCACAATTAGCAGCATTTACAAAGGCTATTTTTCCATAGGTTTCTCAAGGTCTGGTTCTCTGAAATCTCCCAGCAGGGTTGAACTGACATTGCACTTCCCTCTATTAGAGTATGAAATAATCTGGGAGATTATTTGGGCACATGTTTTTGGGTACATTGATAGTAAAAGAGTTTTCTGACGTCTGTCCCACTGTCAGGCTGATCAGGTTCACACAGAAGTTGTCAGGCAGATGAATGGACCTCTAGTATAACTAGAGATGCCAGATTTCTTTAGCAAATCTGTATAAAACCAGTTAACAATGGATATAAAATGCTTCTTTCTAAATTATATATGTCACATGAATACTTAGAGCTAACCTGCTAAATGGTCATGACTTTCATATATAGTTTCTCTGCCACTATGACACTCAGGCAGCTTTTAATTCAAATCCTTCCCATTATCAGATTGATTCCTCAACATTTGGTGGCCTCTCCTTCTGCCTAATTAGATGGTCAAAAAATATTCCACTTATTCTCTGTTTAATCAATCCAAATATTTTCATTAGAAAACACTCTTCCAGTAGTTTCAACAAACATAAAATGGGATTTTTTAAATGGGAATCTGTATGGCTATCCACAAAATTCCATCTCTCTTCCTGTCTTCCCTCCCTCATCTGGGTACTTGGTGTACTTCAGGTCCTGGATTCAGAGCATTTCAATGTTGAGATATGGAGAGCAGCGTTTTTATGACACAAATTCAGGAGGATACTGCAGAACCAAGAAAGAGATTCTAGACATTCCCTGGTGTCCAAACTGCTCAGGGGGAGCCAATCTGGATCCTCCCATGAGGAGGTTTCACTGTTTTCATCAGTGAAACCAGTTTTCAGTTATGGTGACCCTGCGAGAGACTCTCGCATATGCATAGCATTTCTAAATTTGTGGACAAATTAAACATGGACTTGCCAGGGCAAAAGGTTTAAAGCAGCTGAATGGATTCTGAGTGGTGGAAAAGGGACTCTTGATTTAGGCAGCCTTCAGTTTTGGGTTCCCATTTATCAGAGGGTACCTATTTTCAGGTGTCAAGGTTTCAGATCCTTTGTAGGTATTTTTCAGGTCCCCAAAGTATTGAGCAGCTGCAGAGTGAAAGACAAAACCCCCAGGGATCTCCAGGGCTCAGAAGCCCAAAGTCAAAGTAACCAGAAATCTCCTGCCACTCTGTGATGGCAGCTGGTTCTGCTTTGTGGTTCTGGCTGTAAGAGAATTTAAAGGGGTTCACTGCTCCTTGAGAGATTAAGAAGACCAAATATAAATTCTCATCACCCTCAGATAAAAAAAATTAGGTCATTCAGTTCTGTTTTAGGTTTGTTTTTTTGTTGTGATGCTCTCCTAAGAAAGGGAAGAGTAGCTTACAGGGAAAATCAGAATGATTTTAAGTAAGCAGATATTATGGTGTTTGATGTATGAATTAGGAGGTAATAGTGGTTACTAAAAAAAATGCACTACAGAAATAAGGAATTACTTACTATGCATACCACAGACAGAATAAAAACAAAGAGCCACATTATGACCTCATAAGAGCTAATAAAATTTTTGTTCTCTTGCTTTTAGACTAATTGTACCTGAATGGTCTTATTACAACACCATTATTTGGTCCACTTTAAAAAGCATTTCTATTTTTTTCTAAGATGATTTTGGGTGCAAAACTGAAAAGAATTCCAGGCAGAGAGCTTGTCTGCCACCAATGGAAAAAAAATAGTCTAGCCTTGCACTGAATGTGTTACACTTGTAAATGTAAATAGCAACAACTCATTAACAAGATTATTAGTAAAGCATGAAGTCACAGTATTAAAAAGTGATTGTAGTCCAAAATATTTTAATTTTTTAGTTTATTATCTGTTGAATTATTAGAATTGGTTTACAAGTTCTTTCCTTAAGCAAGCTGAAAACTTGCTTGGAAAATGAAACAACACAAAAAAAAAAAAAAAAAAACAAAAAAACAAAAACACCATAACCAAAATGAAAACAAACCCTGAAAGAAAGCCAAACTGGTGTTCTGGATGAATTCTGAACTTACAAAGAAATAGCAGGTATGGAAAACTCAGAAGAAAATTGTACACTGTGCCATCATTGCACCCTTGCCCTCTTGTAGAGAAAAACTAAATTAAGCTGAGTTTTATTTCAATAGCAATAAATTAGGATTTAAGTATTATTAAATAATGATTTCTGCCTGTCAGTTCTATGCTTGTCCAAAACAACATCCCTTTCTTAAATATTTTTATGTTGTTTCAGTTCTTGTTTACAGCTTAGTATGGTTATTTCTACAGTACCGTGAAAGGCATTGAGGGAAAATTTTACAAGTGTCATTGAACACTATTGAATTTCTCCACAATGCCAGAAGTACAAATAAAGCCTAGTTCAGTGTGCTTAGGTGATCATTAGAGATCTCAAAGAGACTGACAACATAAATACATTCTAGTCTCTTTAAAAGAGAAACTTTTCTTTTGACTTTACAGTATTTTACATATCACAAAATTTTATATGTGACAAAGAAGTAATTTTAAATAGGAT